TTATCTGAAGTTGGAGATAAAAAAACTCAAACCATCATTTTTATGTCTTTAGAAGTGCTTTTGATCAAACAGAAACTTTAATATAATTTTGAAATACAAAAATTTAAGATTGATGTGTCGTCAATAAATTTTTATTATTCGGCTTGAATTTTGAGACGTGACACAACTCTCAAAGTATTTTTTTTAAATAAAAAAACATTTAAACTTCAATTAAAAGTCATTCATAATACTATTTTCAGGGAACTTATGGCCGCAATGACACCAAAGTTGGTATAATCTGAGCTACTTTTAAAAGCGTTTAATACGTAATTGGAAGGTTGAATGTATCCAAATATAACAAGCTTATAATCAAATCAAGTGTCACGACGAGACGAATCTATTGAGCCAAAAATCACTCAAATCTGACATCATTAAGACACTCAAATGTCCATAAAATATCATTTGTTTGAGGAAAGATTTTTGGAGGGTCCAATTGAATGGTTTGGATTCCTTTCTTATTTGAGAGAGTCATTTCCTATACTTTATAAATAGAGTCATACCCCTCACTTAAGAGGGGAGTTAGACCTGAGTCTGAAGAAGGATCAGGAGAAGGAGAAACTGAATTATGATTCGTTGTGAAGTAACAAAGAACTAGGCGGCGCAAAAATGCACCCTGAAGACAATATAACAACACACCCTGAAGGTATAACAACATCACTTAAAACATGGTGTAACAATGCATCCCTTAACATAGTGCATCAACACACCCCGAAGACAGTGTAATGACACCACTTTAAAGATGGTGCAACAAAGCACCTCGAAGATGATGTACTAATGTATCTTGAAGACGGTGCAATAATGCACCCCGAAGACGCTACAAGAATGCACCCCAATGACGATGCAATGATCTCGCCCCAAAGATAGTGTTGTAAAGCACACTAAAGATGGTGTGACAATGCACACTAACGATGGTACAACACTGTATCCCAAATATGTTGCATGAATGCACCACGAAGATAGTGCAACAATGACACCATAAAGATGACGCGCCAACACATCTCGAATGTAGTGCAACAATGCACCCCGAATATGATGCAGCGACACTCTACAAATATGGTGTAGCAATGCACCCCGAAGACAGTGTAACGATGCCACCTAGAAGATAGGGCATGAATGCACCCCAAAGAAAGAGTAGCGACATCACCCATGAAGAAAGTGCAGTGACTCAGCTCGAATATGGTGTAGCAACAAACTCCAAGAACAGTGCTACTTCCTACCATGACCTATGTGACCAACAATGACGTACATGACTCACAGTTCACGTAGCTCCCAACTCTAGCATCTGTGACTTACAAACGTTATTGCAACACTCAACTACAACCTTTGTTGCCTACGAACGTTATTGCTGCTCCCCAATATGACTTACATGATTAACTATAACCCACGTGATTCATAGATCATGTAACTCCCGACTCCAGCCTCAAGCCTCCAACCTCTAGTTTATGGACATCATCATAACACAACAATAAGTCCCATATTATCAACTACAATCCATGTGGATCACAACTCATGTGGCTCCCAACTCTGCCCTTTATGACCAACATACATTATTGCAGCCCCAACTCCAACATCCACAACCTACGGATATTGTTGCAGTTCACCTCTACGGCCTATATGTTCCACAACTTGTGGAACTCCGAACCCCGACCTCTGTGGCCTATGCATGTCATCACAGCTCACCACAAAGCATATGTGATCAACTACGACCAACGTGGCTCACAACCCATGTAACTTCCAACTCCCGTCTTTGCGATTTATGGCTATTATCACGACTCATAGAATTTCCAACTCTAACCTCTAGAGCCTACGAACGTTATTATAGTTTGTGCGGCTCTCGACTCTAGCATTTGTAGCCTACAAATATAATCATAATTGACCACTGTGGCCTATGTGACAAACTACGACCTACACTCGTCTTTGCAATTTATGGATGTTATCACGACTCATAAAATTTCCAACTCTAACCTCTAGAGCCCACGAACGTTATTATAGTTTGTGCGGCTTTCGACTCTAGCCTTTGTAGCCTACAAATATAATCACAATTGACCACTGTGGCCTATGTGAGAAACATGTTGCCCCTTACTTCAGCTTCTACCATGTACGGACATTACCACAGCTTGAGCAACTCTCAACTCCAACTTATAAGGCCTATGAACTTTATCATGGCTAGTGCAGCTCCTGACTCCAGCCTCTACAACCCACATACGTTGTCGTAGCTCACCACTATGAACTATGTGACCAACAACAACCTACATGACTCACAACTCCCGTAGCTCCCTACTACAACCTCTGTGACAAACTGACACTCCTGAAGTAATCATCTATGACCTTCATGATCAACTACTATCACAATTTCCAACTATGACCTCTATGATAAGTTGGCATTGTAGCAACCATTTACAACATTCATGGCGGGGCACTGGTTTCATGGTCATCGACCACGACCTTTGCGGCTTGTTATAGCTATTATTGTTGAGGTGTCGTTGTATATGAATTCATGTTACTCAAAATTACATGATGGACTATTTCAACTAGGCTAATTCATGTGGGTTTTCCCCTTTCCTAGGTTAGTCGAGTAAAAATTCGAGGTGTTCCCTCATACTCTTCTTTATTATATGCACGTGTGTGTTGGATTTTCGTACAACGCTAAACCGTTCATTTATCACTTTACCATCGCAGATCTTATGGTATACAATAAGTTGGCGTCGTCCGTGACAAATAAAGTCTCATTCGACAAATTCTTTTAAGTCCAAGATGTTGAGTTCTTGAAAGTGTAAGGGGGTGATAACCTTCATTACAATCTCGAAAGATTGTGGACCTTAACTTTCCTGCCAAAATTATAGTTGTGCAGATGAGTAAACAGGCTTATGGGTGTTCGACTTTGTGAGTGCTCCTAATTATTTTTATTTGTGTACGATTACACTGGATAGTCCATGTTTTAATTGTATCCTAAAAAGGGGCAGATGAGTATGTAAATGTGATGTTTCTTTTTAAAAATGGTAATAATATCTTTTTAAAAATAAGACGTGATATGAATAATTTGAGTTAAAGTACAGGTGTTGGATAAATAAATGCATAAACATATCGTGGTATGTATGTAATGTGATTTTTTAAAATTGGTAATTAATGCTATTTTAAAAATAGGATGTGATATGAATGATTGGACTCGAAGTACAGGTGTTAGATAAATAAAAGCATAAAAGTTGCGTGGTATGTATGTAAATGGGCCTTAGTTTATTTAATTTTTCATCATGATCGAGCCTGGCAGATATTATTGATCCGAGTATGAGCGGATATGATCCAAGTAAAAATCGAATCGAAAGGGAAGTTGATTATTAAATTAATTTTTTTGATTTTAATATAGTTGATTATTAAATTGTTTGTCATAGCTATCACTTTTAATGAGCAAAAAAATTCGAGAATAAATATGTATAAATTATAACTATTGACATGAATCTCAAAGCAATCGAGCAGCCAGAATAGTGATCGGATGATCGAAACATCGGATAAAAAAAAACATGATTCAAACCGTTCATTCAACAACCGATCGTTCGGTCGCAGTCAACCGACATACTATGATAAGAGATTCAATTGGCAGAACACGCCTGAAATCCCGATCGTCTAAAATCTCCTTACGAGGGTGCCAGATCGTAGTTAGTCGACTGACAAGTTTTTTTACTTCAACATATGTGACAGTCATCCGACCGGTCGCCTCAGTCGACTGAACTAAAACACATCAATTAGTTAGTTGTCTCCATATTCAAATTCAAATTTTGATACAAATTTGGTACAGTCAAACGACATACTATGATAAGGGATTCAATTGGCAGAACACGCCTGCAATCCCGATCCTCTAAAAACTCCTTACAAGGGTGTCAGATTGTAGTTAGTCGACTGATAAGTTTTTTTACTTCAACATATGTGACAGTCATCCGACCGGTCGCCTTAGTCGACTGAACTAAAACACATCAATTAGTTAGTTGTCTCCATATTCAAATTCAAATTTTGATACAAATTTGGTATAAGATCGACACAATTAATTATATTAAGAGTGATTTCCATAATTGTTCTCTCATTCTTGTAATTGTACAAATATGACCACGAGACAAAAAAAACAAATAAATTAACTCTTTTAATTACTCTCTTTCTTTCTCTCTCATTCCCCGAGCTTTAACTACAGATGAATGTTCACAAAAGACAAGTTAGGATTCAACATATTTAAATGAATATTTTAATATAAACAATGAGATTTAAATCTCGTCTCTATTATTAATATCCTACAACTGAGTGCCTAGGGCTGTCAAATCGACTCGTTGTTCACGAACTGCTCGTGTTCGACTCGTAAAACAATTGATTCGAACTCGAACAAATTTTTTGAGCTCGATATACAAACGAGTCGAACGTGAACGACGATATTTTTTAATTAGCTGAACATGAGTTGAGCTTGAGCTCGGCTCGTTTACACCCCTACACGTGTAAATCTTCCAATTTTTAAATTGATTAATTTTTATTTCTACTTTCAAGATTGTCTATTCCAACAAAAAGAATGTTACATGTGGAGGCCAAAAAAAAAATTACATCCACAAAAAATACTAAAACAATGTATATAATAAGCACATCATTACATTCTACTTTTTGCAGTATATGTGTTTCTACATCAATACTCAGCTTGTAATTTTTTTCTTCTTGTGAACATAAAAAAATATTATGTGATGTAAAATTACGGAGATAATATGTATGAGTACAAAATTATACTTTGTAGGTTACAAAGAGACTACAGAAAGTATAAAGCGGATACAAAGAGATAACAGGAAATATAAAACAAAACGTACTATATTACATGTATATTACCTCTCAAAACTAACTCTACCTGTAACCTAAAGCAAAATTCGGGAAGGGGTTAGCTCTCTAATTTGTCTTATTTTTAGGGTTGTTTTTATTTAGCAACATAGCTGCCTTCATTTTTGTAAACTGATTTCTCAATCAGCACAAGAGCAGATATGCAGAAAAGGGAATCGGCAAAGGCCTCCGGCTCAACCGGGACTCCGGCGAAGCGCGGCCGACCTATCGGAAGCACCTCTGGAAGTTCTGCTGCTTCCGCCGCCGCAGCGGCAGCGGCCGCGTCCGCCGCCTGCGCGGCACACGCCCCTCCTGCTTCTCTTCTCGGCCCCACCCTCCAAGTTCCCATCTCCTTTGCCGGTAAGTTTCTGAGCATTCCTTCAATATTTCTTGCGAACTCATCCTGATTTAAATTCTTTCTCTTCGTAATCCATATCATTTTCCGTAGTTTGTTAAATGTTTGTGTTATGCATTTTCTTTCTTCAAGCTGCTGTTGCCTAATAATTATAACATAATTAATTTTGCTGTTTATCAACATATGTTGTAGCAACAAGGACAAACGCGTGTTCATATTTATGTAACCCTATCTATTCTGGTCTGGTCGGAGAGAAGGGCGGAAGTCTGTAGCTTCAAATCCATATTGGATGAATCTGATCGGATCAGGCCTCATTGTGTTCTTCATTGCCGGATCTTTCACATAAAAATTTTGCTGTTGCCTATTATTTCTATCAGTATGTGTGCTGCATATTACTACTGAGTTAAGATTTAAATTTTTTCTGCTGTTGACACTTATCTAGTACTCGACACTTATACTAAATAGCCAAAACATTTTGCAAGTTGATAACTTGATTAGATCTTCCATCATTGTACCTCATATAGTAAGGTTTTAAAGTTAAACTATAATGTCAGCTCCAAGTTAAGAATAAGTCCAATGAGCTAATTAATTTCTTTTTGCAAAGGATGAAAACCTATGGCTTCCGACACCAATGACAAAAAGGGATGATGGAGAATTTTCATTCTTGCTTGTGAATAAGAAAGGCAATAAACACTGAGACCAATGACAAAAAGGGATGATGGAGAATATTCATTGGGTTTCTTGCTTGTGAATAAGAAAGGCAATAAACACTGAACGATGGAATTAAAAAAAAAAAAAAAAAAACTGAGAAGGAGATGAGAAGAAAAATTTTGTAGCAATGGCTGAAGGGGAGGCGACCTGTGATGCTACGCAGGCCAAATCTGTTGAAAAAATTTGGAGTCTTAATAATTTAAGATGGTTACAAAAAAAACACACCATAGATTTTCAATACAAACTTTTATTCATACTATATATTCATATATACAAGAATAAATTGATCAGAGCTATTAAAACTCATCATCATTGCAATTATATTTACCTAAACATAATAGAAATGCAGTTATTACATTTATCCATCACAATGCGGACCTAAGATTCCATCAAAGGGAAGGGTATGTATGCTAAAGACAAGTTAATGTATTCCATACGCAATATAATTGAATTATGCTTGTCTCAACAACTTAGCATTGTCAGAGGCTAATCATATATAATCAACAACTAGGTTATGATCAACAACTAAAGGAAATTACCATTAGAATAGATTATTATGAAGGAAAAATCCATATCCAATAGATACATAATAGTATTCTTATTTAGGAGTCAATAACTTTTATTCTCTATAAAATAATTGTAACAACACATAAGATATACTTGAAACTTGATGTCTTATAATCTTAGATCACAAATCATAAGTAACTTCAAGCACTGGCTCCCATAATAATTTAAAGGGAAATTTACATAAAAACCACACGATTCTAATACCCAAAATTTGATATTTGCACTTATAGCAGCTTGTTGCCATAAACCTAAGCATGAAAATGTGTATTTCACTATTTAAAAGATAGTGATGATGATATTTTTGATGTGATGTTAATGAATTGAGTGTCATGCACGTAAATATGAATGTTTAGGTGGTAGATAAGTAAAGACATTAAAATTGTGTTGTATGTGTGTAAGTTCCCTCAATTTAAAATAGCAATAAATATCAAATTATTCAATTAACATTTTTAATTATTTAACTTTTAAAAATTCTAAAATTCATATTAGTTATGCTTAATTTCAATTCAAATTCTTAGCTAAGTGAATGAAGTTCTAGCTATATTAATTGAAGATTTATTGCCCCAAGAATGAATATTTAATCCATATTTGGTCAAACCACAAGCGTCTTAATTTTTTTTTTAATGATTAATTGCTATAATTTTAATATAATTAACATGTAATATCCACTCGATATTGCTGTAGAGTATTTTAATTCTCATTTTGGTGGAAGTAGATGGAGAAAGAGGTAAAATTTTGAGAAATAAGTCATTTTGTTTGGTGTTAGCTAAATCACACATGAATAAGAGGAGTGGAAAAGGAAAAAAGAAGAAATGGTAAAATATGACTCCAATCTTTCAAGTGAGGGTGCTCACACAATCTCCAATAATGAGGCCCTGCCTACTATGCTATTCTACTTGAGATGTCTTAGTTGGATTGTGCTTATTGTCCCTTCCTTCTATCCCACAATCTCTATGATCTTTCACTCACTCCCTCTTAGACACTTGTGTAGCTTTCTCCAATCGAAGGAATGGTGGTGATCTTCCAGGAACCTACTTTATGTCGGGGGAAGGTCTTTCTTGATAATTTTATGTAGGTCCTTCCCTCCAAAATTATGATTTGTCCCCCTCCCTTTTTGATATTTATTTGTGAGAATTCTGGTTACAAGCTAAACCAAAATTATATATTATTGCTCCAAATTATTACACTTGATGGTTTTGAGGAGGTAGAGTGCAATGGTGACGTGGTTATAGAATCCCAACTCACGAGAGAGGAAGGGGATGCTCAATGATGATTGGAATGGAGCAGTCACTTCTTGCAGCTAGGATCAGGTAAGCGGAGAAAAGATAGATGAGGGGAGAGAAACGGATGTTACGATGACAAGATTTGAAAAGGGATAAGTCTTTTGCTAATAGTTGGTACCTAGGATGGCAACGGTTGAGTTGACATCTGATTTTCAATATTTTTCTGGGTTCAATGTAAAAAGAAAGGGCACACCTCATTATTTTAGCTTTAGTTTTATTTTTCTTTCGCTTTGTCGGTGCATCTGCATTTCATTGCAGGTTCCTAAATCAACTAAGTTTGGTGCACATGTAACTGCAGTTAGCTATGTAGGTTGGATATTTCACTTACAATCTTTTGATCCGTTGATGTAATCAATAAATTTCAATGATTTGTGGGTTTTATTTGGATAAAGAAAGTTCATGGTCCTAAACAAACTACTATTATGATTGTACCCTATCATCTAGATCGAGACCATTGGATACAGAGTAATGCTCTTGTTTCTTGTTCATTTCAAAAACTTCTCTTTAAAATCATAAATTCTTTAACGATAGTTAAAAATAGTTAATTACATTTGTATCTTCTGATTTGTTTCTCGTTTTATGAGATGCAGATTTATTTGCAGTGTAAGTTTTTGACTGGAAATCTTATATAATAAAATATAGACAGCTAAAAATGAAAAAAACCTTTTGCAAATAATTGGGACCCTAAGGTGGCAAGGGTTAAGTTGACATGATTTGGTTCAATAGTTCTTTATTCATTGGTTCAGTGTAAAAAAGTTTACATCTCATTACTTTAGCTTTAATTCTATCTTTTGCTTTATTGGTGCATCTCCTACATTTCATTGCAGATTCCTAAATCTCCTAAGATTATTGGACGTGTAACTGTAGTTAGCTATTTGAACTAGTTTTCTTGATTTTTGACTACCAGTTTGAATTGTTCTTTGTATTGGTTGGATATTTCACTTGCAATCTTCTGAGCCATTGATGTATTCGATAAATTTCAATGATTTTGTCAGGTTTTAGTAGGATAAAGAGAGCCTCATGGTCTTAAATATTTGAATTTTAGAGCAGACATTATACTAGAGTTACGACTTTTCCTCTATCATCTAGACCAAGGCCAAGGGATAGCTAGTGCAGACTCTTACAGATCAAAGCTTGTGCACTTGCTCTTTTCAAAAACTCCTCTTTAGCACTTATAAATTAGCTTACTATAGTTGAAAATCTTCAATTACATTTGTATCTTCTGATTTATGTCTCTTTTTATTATATATGGATTTGTTTGCATTGTAAATGCTTGCTTCTTTTCTTTTCTTTATCCATTGAATATTTGATAATGCATAATAAATTTATTTCATTTTGACTGCTAATGAGTGTCGATCTAAAATTTTATTCGTTTACAATTTCTTGCAAATTGTAATGACAAGACACGTGAATTAATAAGCTGATATGACAATGATTTCTTCCACTTTAATGGATTTACCAGGCAACTTAATTTGATACAATTGTGGCAAACTTTCCATTGATTACATGATGCTTATATGATCTTGTTGTAACCTTGTTTCTCATTAAGGGAGTATTTTATTGAAAGTAATAATTTTATTGGAATGCAAAATCCTTTCTGTTTGCTTATCCTATGCAACTATTCACCAGATCAAAATAATAAAAGGATTGTTCTAGCTCTTCAAAGTGGTTTGAAGAGCGAGTTAACATGGGCATTGAACACTCTGTCGTTGCTTTCATTTAAAGAGAAGGATGATCTGCGTAGAGATGCGACTCCTCTTGCTAAGATACAAGGACTGCTAGATGCTCTACTTCAAGTTGTAGGTGCTGCTATATTTACTCTTTTTTTGCGTTTCCTTTAATATTACTCTTCCAAGAGATTAACAAACTTTTTTCTATTCCAAGAAGCTCTAATGATTTCTCCTTTTTTTAATTACTTAACTTTTGGGTTCATAAATTTTTGGTCTTCATTTCTTTTTGTTATAGTTTTTCTATCTCATTGCATGTTTATCTTTAATCAATTAATGCCCATTAGCCATCAAGCATTAATTTTCTTGCATGGTGCTTGCATTTGTATATTGTTTTGTTTGTCTTCATTTTGTTTTAGTAGTTTCCATATTGTTGAGATAAGGTTAAAGATGATTGTGTTTCAGTAATGTTTGAACTGTGATGACCTTATGGGGAACACTAATTAATTAGACCATTAGTAACTTTACTTTTTTATTTTGGCATCCCTGGTTCAATGGATTCATTTTGTATTCCAAATTCTTGATTGTGCTCATTTGGTTTTGTCTATCTTTTTAGATAGATGATTGGCGTGACATAGCAATTCCTAGGGATTACAAAAGGTCATTAAGGCTAAGATCACTTGGAGAAAGTTCTACAGTTACGGGTTTTGGAAATGAGTATGAGTTGACAAATTCTACTGATGTTCCTGCTCATCCAGGGTATGTTACTTATCTTTTCTTGTATTTTCTTTCAACCTGTCCCATTAATAACTTGTGTTTAAGTGCATCCCCTTTAACATTGTCAACCTTGTTTGAAAAGTTTGGTTGAAATTTTTAGTCATTTTCTCATTTTTTCATTTTTAAATTACATTTGATATTAAGTCAGTTTTGATAAATTTGAATAAATTACACTGATGTCATTTTTTCTGCCAAATTTTCCCTTACATGTTATGTCTAGTTTTTGGCTTTTATTTTACATGCCTGAAACTCTTACACAATTGAGTTTATTTTATGCTATCTTATAGTTAGTAGGAGCTTCTTCCAGAATTATATTAATATAATTATTTTTTATTTGATCCTTTTATTCGGTTTAAACACAAATGGATCCATAATATTTTTCTTTCTTATTACACTTAACTTGGCCATAAATCATTTTTTAACATTGGTTTTATGTAACACATAATATTGATTACCTTAAAAGTATTATACAACATGCTGATCTATTATAAAAAGTTGGTTTGAAACATGGTTCTGTACTGATATACTCGATCTACATTCCTAAGCGGTGGTTCAAATTGACACATTTCAAGTTTATTTAGATTGATGCATCTCCATCTAGCCCTATGTTCCTTCCATTTCGGTGAAATGTTTGAAAAATATGGCCCGCAGGCCCTGCACCAACCTATTAAATGTTTGCGCAACATATTTTCATAAGCTTGGGGGTGTAATTATGTTCCTTTTGACTTAATTGGGCAAAGTATAATTATGTGTACATCATGCACAATTTCAACATGGCCATAAATTACTATACTTGGACATAAAGTGTTGGAAAACATGTGGTTTCATATAATATATAGTTTTAATTCCTTTGATATATTTTAAAAAAGTCTAATTAGTTATGCCACATTGGATTGAAACATGGCTTTGTGCTAATTTACCCGATCTACATTCCCATGTAATGGTGCATTTTGATGTCTTTGGAGCATATATAGTTTTCCGTCACCATTGAACTCCATGTTGCTCAAGGTTCAATCAGATGGCCATCACCAACTCATTACACGATTGCAACGATAATCTCATATGTTTGGATTGTAATTAGGCACCTCTGATTCAATCAGGTCCTGTACAGTCATGTGTAAATAATGCAAAATTACAACGTGGTCATAAATTACTACAGTTGGCCATAATTTCATTAATTATTTCCCAACATTTCGTTTCATATAATATGTAATTGTAATTGCCTTGGATCTATTGCACGAAATAATAAGCTTATCTATTGGACACTTGGCTATATGCCAGTATACCTGATTTACATTCCCGAGTAGCGGCTCAGATTACGGTATTTAGAGTGCTTTTAGATAGATTTGCCACCATATTGCCTGGTGTTCCTTCCATGGCAGTCAAAGATCCAAACAAGTTGGAATCACAAACTCAATACATGTTTGCGATAACTAAATCTATTGTGGCTGCGCGCTTTCTAAATTGAATTGGGCCTAATTCCCCTATGACTACGCATTAAGTGGGCCCACACGATGGACTCTACTCCAAGCATAGATGTAACAACCAACCCACTCCAATTCATCTCTAAAGGACACTTAGCCGTAAATTACAAGGAAGCAAAGCTGTTGGATCTCCTCCATAAATTTGAGAAACCCTGAAGGTCTCAAGGGAATAGAGGAGAGCTTATATGTGAAGAAGATGAAATGAGGCATTAAGGATGCCATGATGGGCAAACATTTTCTGAAGGTATAACCTGCATTTTAAGAGTGAGCTTCATCTACTTCTATCCATTGACCATTGCCTCAAAGTTATTGCTTGTTTCTTGAGTCGTCATATATGATTTTATCGGCGTGCATGGGGATCCTTTCTTTGTCTAAGTGTCTCATTCACTAGTTATGAATTTTTTATAGGTGGGTGTCCCAAAGTAGCCTAAGTGCAATTGTAATCGCTCTTATTGAATTGGGGGGATGTCCAATTATCATTCCCTATGCCGCTTTATAGGGTGTTAATTGGAAGAGCTACTGTTAAGATCTCTAAAATAAATCTAAGACTTGACAAGTTTTGCATCACATTTTACATATTATGCATAAGCATTCCTGAAATGCTTTCCATTAACAATGAATCAAATGAAAAGGTACAATAAAAACAAGATTCAAAAGCTAAAACGTAAACTATCAGTTGGGACTTGAACAAAACGGTCTTTCTTGTTGTCGAGTTTGCCCAAAGAATGGTCCAATGAAAGTTGAGACAATAGTAGAACAGAACTTCCATGAGCTCCTGACAACCTTCAAAAGAATTGAAAGATACAAGAACATACGAATATGATAAATGTGCTTTATCTTGAGATTTGTATAAATCTTGATACAATATGACTAACACTTAATTGCATATGCTTATATTTGATTGCTAGCTCTTCTCCAATAGATGATTAAACTTTCAGAAATACTATGTATCAATAAAAGTTTGTTTAATACATAGAAGAGACTATGACAAACAATTGACTAAATTTCGGGAAATAAAAATCATTACTATAAGATGGAAATATATTTGTCAACTTTATCTATGAGATTTATTTGCCTTTCTTGTTTGAAAGCCACTTCCTTTGATGAAATCCCTATAATATGATCATATACAATATTAATATTTATCAAGTTACTGATTTATTAGCTATGATTTTTTATTAATATTAATTTTTAATTAGCAATTTCTTTAATTTTTTCATCTAATTTATTTTAATAAAATTATTTTAATATTTTCTACATTTTTATTCTGTTTAACTAAGTTTGACTTTATTTTTATTTATTTTATTTTAAGTTAAATTTAAAATGAATTACATAATATAATAAATAGATCCTCTATTTTGATGATGATTATTTTTTTTAAATTAGCTTCAAAATGTTGAAAATAAATGCTTTGTTTATTATTATTCTACCACTAATCAAATTCATTTTGAAGTAACTTTAATTTAAGGATTTTATTTAAATATATCACTATCATTTTTAAACTATAAATTAATCTACATTACTATTTTTATTATAAAATTAAGCATGAAACTATTTTAATATTCTTATTATTACAAAATAATTTTTCTTGTACGATATTATCAATATTCAAATTGCAATATTTTTGTTAGATTTAATATATAGAAAGAAAAATAATAGAATTTATGTATCTTGGTTTTTTAAAATAAATTTATATTTTTTGCTAATTTGTATTTATACTTTCATGTTGCTTTTTTCTTCTTTAGATTTTCAAGACACCGACTTTGTTTCTAATTTCACTTTTTTTACATAAACCCTTAGTTGGGGTTTGTCTACTTAAATCAAAATTATGGTTTTTAATTTTAAGATTTTTTTTGTTAAAATTAACTTTTTGTCTTAGGGAAGGAAAAATAAAACATTTTTGGCATAAAAGATCATATCTAAGTTGATTGGATTCAATCTTATGCGGTTGACCCCATCGTCAACTTGTGTAGGTGCTCATGCTCTGTTTGGCATGTGGAGGTCCCCTTTTTTATTCTATCGAGTACTCTACTTGCTTGTATTCTCTCTTGTTTGGTTTCTTGCTATATCTCCCTTCCTTGTTTGTCTCCACTGAGCTCTTCCCTTTTGCCTTTAATAATCATGATTAGCAATTATGTGGTGTCATTTTTTTTTTCATTTTAGCAAATATTTTTATTCCTTCATTAAAATAATTTCATTATTTAAATTTTAAGTTATTTTGAATAAATTAAATCTACTTGTAATTCTTATTCATTTTATTAATCTTATTTCATTAAATAACTTAATATATAATATAATTACATATTATTCTAATTTATTAATGCATTGTTTAAAACGTATAAAATGATATAGCTAAAATATAATATTGTCTTTATTATTTAAAATCTTTTGCATCTTATGTCACGCAAAGTTGAAATTATTATGCCTGAAAGAGGTGGTCAGATTTAAAGTGTTTCTTTAACGAATATATTTAAGAATGCACAAATACAATTTTTCAAATGGTTAAAGAGCCAAATAAATTCAAAAGCTTATTAAATTTATTTTTTTTTAAATGCATTTGAGGCAAAAATATATATATTTTTTATTACCTACCTCTTATACTTTCTCACCAACCGTAAACTTGTTACCTTTTCTTAAACGATTTAATTTAAAGTAATTTTCCTGTAAAATAATCATGAACTAATTGATGAGCTAAATAACTCAATGACTAAATGCATTTCTAAAATATAGAAATGTAAGGCTTAAAAATTGATATGAATGCCAAATTTTTGTTTTAAAATTATAAACATTTTCATTCATACTTTTTAATACAATGTATTTATATTAAGTTATTATTTATCTCTTTATGATTTATCATTTTAATACTTTAATTTTCTATAACATAAACTCATCATAGGGACACCATTTAAAATGTATAATTATGAAAGCAACTCTCAATAACTTTGTTCGTGTTTATCCTATGAGAGTAGACAACTATTTTTTTAGGTAGCTACAAACATCCACAATTAGTATCATAATAGGGTGAGTCCATCGTTTATCATGTGCATATAAACATTCTTATATAACATATGCTTTGCATTTCTCCTATCAAGTATGCTCTTTAATATCATTTTTTATATATAAAATAGTCATTTCAAGCTGTGAAGAATGTTGAATAATATACATGTTAATATGAGACTTGATACTTGAGAATAAGAATTCAAATTAAGCAACTTATAATCTTGTGAAATAATCATTGGCATGCGACGGTTCCCTCCTTGCTTGAACTCGTGCTTGATGAGAGAAATGTTACTAGAAGTTATTTAATTTGATTTCTCATTTTTATGCCCAAAATTTCATATTAACATGCGTATTATATAGTATTTTTCATATGTCAACTAAAGTAGTTATATCTTGAAATAATTTGTAAAAAATATTATTAAATTATATGTTTAATGAGAGAAATGCTAGAAAACATATTATATACGAATGTTTTCATATGTATGCTGAAGGATAGTG